CCTATACACACAAACTTATACATGCACTCACACACACTCATACACCTATACACACACAAACTTATACATGCACTCACACACACTCATACACCTATACACACACAAACTTATACACGCACTCACACACACTCATACACCTATACACACACAAACTTATACACGCACTCACACACACTCATACACCTATACACACAAACTTATACACGCACTCACACACACTCATACACCTATACACACACAAACTTATACATGCACTCACACACACTCATACACCTATACACACACAAAACTTATACAATGCACCTCAAACCTCATACACCTATACACCCACAAACTTATACATAGCACCACCACACTCGATATACACCTATACACACCCAAACCTTTATACAATGGCACTCCCACACGGACACCCAACTCATACACCTATACACACACAAACTTATACATGCACTCACACACACTCCTACACCTATACACACAAACTTATACACGCACTCACACACACTCATACACCTATACACACAAACTTATACACGCACTCACACACACTCATACACCTATACACACACACTTATACACGCACTCACACACACTCATACACCTATACACACACAAACTTATACATGCACTCACACACACTCATACACCTATACACACACAAACTTATACATGCACTCACACACACTCATACACCTATACACACACAAACTTATACATGCACTCACACACACTCATACACCTATACACACACAAACTTGTACATGCACTCACACACACTCATACACCTATACACACACAAACTTATACATGCACTCACACACACTCATACACCTATACACACACAAACTTATACATGCACTCACACACACTCATACACCTATACACACACAAACTTATACATGCACTCACACACACTCATACACTTATATACACACACTTACAAATATTTACACACACACACACTTACACACACATTGACACACATTGACACACACACACACTCATACACTTATGCACACTTGTACACATACACATTTACACCCACTTACACCCACTTGCACCCACTCACACACTTACACCCACTCGCACACACTTTTACACACTTGCACACACACACACATTCTTACATACACTTACACTTACACTTACACACACACACACACACTTACACACACACACCCATTTTTACCCACACATGAGGGCTGCTTCGCTGAAACCCTGGTGGAAGTAGCAATTTGTTGAATGAGAACTCTCAAGTTTGGTTTTTTTTGGTGCTGATGAGAACTGTGCAGGCCAAAGTTTGGATTTTTTTGTGCAGATCTTGGTGGCAAATATTCAAATGAGAACTCAGGGGGCTGAAAAGGTGGCAGTAACAAATTTCAAATGAGAACTTGAGGCTGAAGAGAACAGAAATCTCATGTGGACCAAAGGGGAAAAGTTTGCTTGATTTTGATTTTCAGCACGAATACAAACTGTGAAAACATGGCAAGAGAACACAAATCTCATGTGGACAGTTTGCTTGATTGGGTGTTTTTCCGTTTTTTGGTGCAGATTTTGGTAGCAGTTGCAAGAACCCAGATGGAACTTTGAAGGCTAAAGCGGAGAAGGGAACCATGTGAAACAACATGTTTTTGATATACATGATACCCATGATAAAAATAACATATGTGAAAGATATGTAAAGTATATATGGCACAAACTCCAAAATTGACACCTTAACACCCTGAAAATCCATGATCCCACCCCCCAAAAAAATCACACACACTACACTACACCCAGCAACCTTCAAGATCCATGACCCCACCTCCAAAAAATGAAACCTTGACATCCAGCAGCCCTCAAGATCCATGACCCCACCTCCAAAAAATGAAACCTTGACACCCAGCAGCCCTCAAGATCCATGACCCCACCTCCAAAAAATGAAACCTTGACACCCAGCAGCCCTCAAGATCCATGACCCCACCTCTAAAAAATGAAACCTTGACACCCAGCAGCCCTCAAGATCCATGACCCCACCTCAAAAAAATGAAACCTTGACTACACCTAGCAACCCTCAAGATCCATGACCCACCTCCAAAATTGAGACCTTAACACCCTCAAAATCCATGACCCCACCTCCAAAAATTGAAACCTTGACACCCAGCAACCCTCAAGATCCATGACCCCACCTCCAAAAAATGAAGCCTTGACACCCAGCAGCCCTCAAGATCCATGACACCACCTCCAAAAAATTGAAACCTTGACTACACCTAGCAACCCTCAAGATCCATGACCCCACCTCCAAAATTGAGACCTTAACACCCTCAGGATCCATGACCCCACCTCCAAAAATTGAAACCTTGACACCCAGCAACCTTCAAGATCCATGACCCTACCTCCAAAAATTGAAACCTTAACACGCTCAAGATCCATGACCCCACCTCCAAAAATTGAAACCTTAACACCCTCAAGATCCATGACCCCACCTCCAAAATTTGAAACCTTAACACCCGCAAGATCCAAGACCCCACCTCCTAAAATTGAAACTTGACACCCAGCAACTCTCAAGATCCATGACCCCACCTGAAAAAAAGGAAACCTTGACACCTCAAAAAAATGAAACCTTGACACCCAGCAGCCCTCAAGATCCATGACCCCACCTCCAAAAAATGAAACCTTGACACCCAGCAACCCTCAAGATCCATGACCCTACCTTCAAAAATTGAAACCTTAACACCCTCAAGATCCATGACCCCACCTCCAAAAATTGAAACCTTAACACCCTCAAGATCCATGACCCCACCTCCAAAAAATGAAACCTTGACACCCAGCAGCCCTCAAGATCCATGACCCCACCTCCAAAAAAAGAAACCTTGACACCCAGCAGCCCTCAAGATCCATGACCCCACCTCCAAAAAATGAAACCTTGACACCCAGCAGCCCTCAAGATCCATGACCCCACCTCCAAAAAATGAAACCTTGACACCCAGCAGCCCTCAAGATCCATGACCCCACCTCCAAAATTTGAAACCTTGACACCCAGCAACCCTCAAGATCCATTACCCCACCTCCAAAAATTGAAACCTTAACACCCTCAAGATCCATGACCCTACCTCCAAAAAATGAAACCTTAACACCCTCAAGATCCATGACCCCACCTCCAAAAAATGAAACCTTAACACCCTCAAGATCCATGACCCCACCTCCAAAAAATGAACCTTGACACCCAGCAGCCCTCAAGATCCATGACCCCACCTCCAAAAAATGAAACCTTGACACCCAGCAGCCCTCAAGATCCATGACCCCACCTCCAAAAAATGAAACCTTGACACCCAGCAGCCCTCAAGATTCATGACCCCACCTCAAAAAAATGAAACCTTGACACCCAGCAGCCCTCAAGATCCATGACCCCACCTCCAAAATTTGAAACCTTGACACCCAGCAAACCTCAAGATCCATTACCCCACCTCCAAAAATTGAAACCTTAACACCCTCAAGATCCATGACCCTACCTCCATAAAATGAAACCTTAACACCCTCAAGATCCATGACCCCACCTCCAAAAAATGAAACCTTGACACCCAGCAGCCCTCAAGATCCATGACCCCACCTCTAAAAAATGAAACCTTGACACCCAGCAACCCTCAAGATCCATGACCCTACCTCCAAAAATTGAAACCTTAACACCCTCAAGATCCATGACCCCACCTCCAAAAAATGAAACCTTGACACCCAGCAGCCCTCAAGATTCATGACCCCACCTCAAAAAAATGAAACCTTGACTACACCTAGCAACCCTCAAGATCCATGACCCACCTCCAAAATTGAGACCTTAACACCCTCAAAATCCATGACCCCACCTCCAAAAATTGAAACCTTAACACGCTCAAGATCCATGACCCCACCTCCAAAAATTGAAACCTTAACACCCTCAAGATCCATGACCCCACCTCCAAAAATTGAAACCTTGACACCCAGCAACCCTCAAGATCCATGACCCTACCTCCAAAAATTGAAACCTTAACACCCTCAAGATCCATGACCCCACCTCCAAAAATTGAAACCTTAACACCCTCAATATTCATGCCCCTACCTCCAAAAATTGAAACCTTAACACCCTTCAAGATCCATGACCCCACCTCCAAAAAATGAAACCTTAACACCCTCAAGATCCATGACCCCACCTCCAAAAAATGAAACCTTGACACCCAGCAGCCCTCAAGATCCATGACCCCACCTCCAAAAATTGAAACCTTGACACCCAGCAACCCTCAAGATCCATGACCCCACCTCCAAAAATTGAAACCTTGACACCCAGCAACCCTCAAGATCCATGACCCTACCTTCAAAAATTGAAACCTTAACACCCTCAAGATCCATGACCCCACCTCCAAAAATTGAAACCTTAACACCCTCAAGATCCATGACCCCACCTCCAAAAATTGAAACCTTGACACCCAGCAACCTTCAAGATCCATGACCCTACCTCCAAAAATTGAAACCTTGACACCCAGCAACCCTCAAGATCCATGACCCTACCTCCAAAAATTGAAGCCTTAACACCCTCAAGATCCATGACCCCACCTCCAAAAATTGAAACCTTGACACCCAGCAACCCTCAAGATCCATGACCCTACCTCCAAAAATTGAAACCTTGACACCCAGCAACCCTCAAGATCCATGACCCTACCTCCAAAAATTGAAACCTTAACACCCTCAAGATCCATGACCCCACCTCCAAAAATTGAAACCTTGACACCCTCAAGATCCATGACCCCACCTCCAAAAATTGAAACCTTGACACCCAGCAACCCTCAAGATCCATGACCCTACCTCCAAAAATTGAAACCTTGACACCCAGCAACCCTCAAGATCCATGACCCTACCTCCAAAAATTGAAACCTTAACACCCTCAAGATCCATGACCCCACCTCCAAAAATTGAAACCTTGACACCCAGCAGCCCTCAAGATTCATGACCCCACCTCAGGATCTTCACGTTCCGCCGATCCGCCGCAGGTGATGTTCGAACAATTCGAAGCACCTCGGACCTGAGTACCTGGCGGTCTGGGAATCGTCGCAGCTGACTTGGCATGAAACGAACAGTGACCAAAACCCCTGTTGATGGTTATGTATAGGGGATTTGATGTGTATTTATAGGCCTCTGCAGGGTTTGGTCCTGTAGAGCGTGCGGATTGACTCGCACCCCCTTCTGTATATCTAGAACAGGGGGTTGTCATGTTGTCTTCATTTCTGGTAATTTCAATTTTGCACGCACCTGTAAACCATCAATATGAGGATTGACATGGATATAGTTGATAAATGATGGTTGATTGATGATTGTGTGGCTTTGATTTTACTGCCTTATGTATTGAGGATTATCATGCTTGATTTCGGGAAATCGTATTTAAAAAAACGGCAGTACACAGGGACGACATTTCAGGTTTTGAACACTGTTCAAATGGCTATTGACTTTCCAAAGTGCCTTTCTATTTTCTGTTCAAGAAGAGATTTTTACTTAAGACTAACCCTTCTGATGCTCAGTGATACTTCGGGTATATGAACCCACAGTGCTGTAAAAGAAAATGATTCGGGGGATCAAAACCTGTAAAGTATGGGGTATAACAACCAACAATGGGGGGACATATGATGAGCTGGTTGGTGGTTTGGAACATGTTTTTTTTGACTTTCCATAGATTGGGAATGTCATCATCCCAACTGACGTTCATATTTTTCAGAGGGGTAGGTATACCACCAACCAGTGAAATATTACCTATGAAACAAAGTCTTCACTGGAATTTTCGGTCAGGCTTGGGGCAATTGTCCCACAATGGCCTAACATGGACGATGGAAATTGCGCAGACGCGCCAGGGCACGAAGCTCTCAAACTCGAAAGACATGTTGAATTATGAGACCTGGCAAGTTGAACGTGGCCTCTGGAGAGCTCCGCTACAGAGCCCCCTACCCCACCGGTTGTCAGAGCCTACTGATAACACATAAGCTGCTCGAAACAAAAGGTACGCCGAAAGGAGATCAAGAGTGCCAGAGCTGGTTGAACTAGCGTATGTGTTGAACTTACTCAGGTTGCTCCATATTCAACGGTTTCAGTTGTCAGGTGTTGCTTTTTCTGGCGCTCTGGACCGGTTCATGTCTGCCCGCAGGGCATGAGTTTCCCCGGAATGGAAGATGAATAGCCTAACACGTCAGGTTTGTGTATTGCAACTTATCCAGATGAAATGGTTGGAATGGTTGAAAACAACATATGGTGCGCCATGAATTTGATGGTTATGAACCTCCATTTACCAGCGAGGGTGTCATCTGAACTACCGAGCTACAGGATGAAATGACCGTCCCCATTTGGAATTAGGGAAATCTTTGGTCACTCGTACCAATGTCTTCATTTTTGACCAATGCCCAAATTGCTAGAATTGGAGGAAAGTGAGGGCCAAACCATTGAGTGGTTTGAAGAAGGGTAATACCCCCTTAAAAAACACATGAAATCACTATATTTCCGTTAACTCTCCATGTCAAATCCCCATTTGTTACTGGATTACTACCGCATTCCTACCTGATATGGCTGGTCGCCCGCACTCGTTGGTCAAGTTCAGTTCGTTCCTATATTTTTCGTTGCAAATGGTAAACGGGAAATATGTTTGAATGTAAACAACATTGATCAACTTACAACTTATGTTTATGTAATATATAATCAATGCATAACATGTTTACATCAATTAGGGTTACTACTGTCAAAGTTATCTTATCACTGGACATTGAAAGTAATTACCCAGAACCATATTTTTCATTGAGTTCATGAGGTTGTTTTATTATATGTATGTATAATATATATATATGCACATAATCACATATGTAGTATCCGGTAATTTGTCAGTTGCCTATGGACGATCAGCTCGACCAAGGTCCCTTCCCTCAACATCTCAATCCAGGCAAGGGGATGCAAAGCCATTGTGTTTTCGGGATGGCTCTTGTTTTTTTTACTATGATTTTACTGGCTGGTGGTTCGGAACATTTGTTATTTTTCCATATATTGGGAATAATGATCCCAACTGACTTATATTTTTCAGAGGGGTTGAAACCACCAGCCAGTTTACTATGATTTTAAGACTAATGGAATGGTATATGGTATATCCAGAGGGTACTGGTATATGATGGGATCTAATGGATTATTATAGGACGATCCCATTACGTGATTGTGAGAATATCCATGACTGGTTATTGGTTTCAAACATGGCTTTTGTGTTCCATAATATATGGGATAATCCCAACCCCATTGACTTTCATATTTTTCAAGATGGGTTAAAACCACCAACCAGATTATTTTAAGACTGTGCAAGAATAAAACAACCAGAAGTTTTGATTTTCGTTTGTGTGTGTTTTAGGTGCTCAAAGATAACTTTTTTGGTGAAGATTATATCAGTGTTAGCGTTTTTTCATGTTTTGTTTGAAGGATACTACAACCACAAATCTGGATGGTAACCAAGGACCAGTAGTTTCATTGTGTTTTGGGTTGTATATCCAAGCAAATTTCAAGGACCAAAACTGGCCTTTTTTCGCATTCGGAATGCCTGGTAGGATACGTACTTCATAAAAGGTGCCTGGGGCCCGGGGCCCCTAGTTATGTTTGTTGGTTTATAAACCATGAAATACCCCCCATGAACTAGTTCGTTATATCTACCATAAACCATAGATTTCAGCCACTGAAATAAGGCAACTGAACGCTATCGACTGGGGGGCCCATCCTGTAGGTGCCTGAAATCTCACATGGTTTCTGGGTAAATTATAACGACCTCACTTGACCTCACTGTTCTCCCGAACCCTGGAATCATGGTTAGGGGAATTATCCCACTATGGTCTTCATTCAGGTTAGTGAATTATTATAATTTGCCCAGGTGGTTTTGTTTCGGTTGATTTTCGTTGCTTTCCTAAGTGGAAGTACATCAAACGTGGGGAATCCACTCGATGTTGGATGGTCTGGCGTGGCTCACCAAGCAGTCAATCACTTCCCCAATGGCCCACAGATGATGTTGTTGTTCCTGCTCTTGTTTTCACCTTGAATTGTGCAGAGTGACTCACTGTGGTCAACAATTTCGGTGTGGGAATCCGATGATAGATTTTGCATGATTTTGAGCGTTCTATCTCTGCCGTACTCTCTGGTAAGTTAACATGGTTGTGGACGATAATGTTTTCATAGGTAAATGATCTATTAGCTATTTTAAATTGCCAGAGGGTATTCATGATTATCGAAATCAAAAATACCACTGGTTTGTTTTGACCTGCAACAAGTACATGTGCATCCCAGGCATCCTAAGTGGTGAATGACCATTTTTTCCCCAGGTACACGGGTGGTGCCCCCTAGTTATAAATTGGTTTATAAACCCAATTAACTAGTTCGATATATCACCTATAGTTATTGGAGTTCTGTGGCCCCCAACTTCGCGATTCCGTGGGGGCACCACCTTGTATGTGAAATCTCCAATTGAATTGGGTTATATCTGGGTTATGCACCACTTCTGGTTCCTGTAGACATCCCCAAGTGCATGCGGCTCCCAATGTTTGGTGAGCAAACCTACTTGATAAGTGCCCTGCGGTCATCTCAGTTATATTTGGGTGAATTAACCCCTCTCACTAATTAACCAGTTCGTTAATGGCCACCGCAAGAACTACAATGTGGCCCCCCCATAGTTATATTTTTTGGTTTATATAACCCTATCTAACTAGTTCGATATATGCTCTATAACCCGTAGTCATTGTAGTTCTAAAGCAAGTTAGCTAAGTATCTGGGGGGAGCATTTGAGGTTGTACATGAGTATAACCATGGTTCTAAACCCTTAATAGTTGGCATATGGACCCCCTATTACTTTGCTGAAATCTATTCACTTTAACTGCAATTCCCATGATATTCCCATATTGTTGGTTATCCCGATTGAACCCCCATTAAAGCATATTAAAACCACAGTTACTGTAGTTATAAACCATAATCAGCCAACAAACTGGGGCCCCACCTTGTAGTTAAAGGTGTTCATGGTTGGATCAGCATGTATGATTGATCACCATTGGTGATATATCATCAAATCTCATGAAATCCCACTCAAATCCTATTAAACTACCAAGTGCTCATCCCTTTCAATCCAACATCTCATGAAATCCTCATTCTATCCCATTAAACTACCAATTTTAATTATTAAAACCATTAAATCTCAAAAAATGCCATCATCATCATCATCAACATCATCATCATCATCGTCATCGTCATCGTCATCGTCATCGTCATCGTCGTCATCGTCATCGTCACATCATCATCATCATCATCATCATCATCATCATCATCATCATCATCGTCATCGTCATCGTCATCGTCATCATCGTCATCAACCTGGATCGCTGAAGCGTTGTGACGCTGCCAGGGTGTCCTGGCCTTATTGGGCCAGGGGCGCACCACCGGTTTAGTCCTGGACAGTGGCGAGGGCGCCACCCACTGCGTGCCATGGCCATGGGGTACGGGTGGGGCGAGTTCGCCCCGGAGACAAACAAAGGCTGTTTTGGATGGGATGAGAAATGGTGCTTTAATGGAATTTCATGAGGATTTAGTGGGATTTAATGGAATTTCATGAGGATTTAGATGGATTTAATGGAATTTCATTAGGATTTAGATGGATTTAATGGAATTTCATGAGGATTTAGATGGATTTAATGGAATTTCATGAGTATTTAGATGGATTTAATGGAATTTCATTAGGATTTAGATGGATTTAATGGAATTTCATTAGGATTTAGATGGATTTAATCATTGTGCCAGGAGAGAGGGCTTAGGAATTTCACACGGTCGAGTGCAGCCGACTACAGCCCACTACAGCCGACCAGCCGACTACAGCCGACCAGCCGACCACAGCTGACTACAGCCGACTACAGCCGACCACAGCCGACTACAGCCGACCACAGCCGACTACAGCCGACTACAGCCGACTACGGCCGACTACAGCCGACTACAGCCGAGCAAAGCCGACTACGGCCGACTACAGCCGACTACAGCCGAGCAAAGCCGACTACAGCCGAGCAAAGCCGACTACAGCCGAGAACAGCCAACTACAGCCAATTACAGCCGAGCACGGCCGACCAGCAGAGTACAGCTGAGCACAGCTGAGCACACAGCCGACTACAGCCGACAACAGCCGAGCGCGGCCGAGCACAGCCAAGCACAGCCGAGCCGCCGAGCACAGCCGAGCGGCCGATGACAGCAGAGCACAGGGGCCTTGCAGGAGCAGATTCTAACCAAAGCAGGCTAGCAGTAACCAAGCTTAGCAATTTCTGACAATGAGAGCCATCAGATTCCAAATAAAGTGACATGGTTTAGTTGCATTCGATCACGTGACATTCCTTGGCCTCCTCTCCTGCACACAGCTAATTGTAGCAAAAGTGGATCATTTGAGTGCCTGGTTGAACTTCCACAGGTGTTTAGTTCAAAATAAACGAGTCCAGCACAATTCCAAAGAACCAAATCATAATTTGACATACTTTGACCGCGATTTTCATCCAACTATTGAGGATTTTGGGCACGCAAATTCTTTTAACAAATTAGTAAATTTATTAAGCCTAAGTAACATTAGTGAGTTTGGAGACTAAAGGTAGCCTGCATGGGGCTGGTTGACCCTGTAGAAAATACGACACGCATCCAAATGCCATTCCGAACAAAAAGAAAAAACTCCAAGTCCCTTCTTAACTTCGAACAGCAGCATGCTTCACAGTGGAGGTCCCCCAACTGAATTATAATTGCACGAACTTGCCATCAAAACTTTCAATTTGCGGATCAGCATTTGGCAAATTTGCTGAAATTTATGGCCAGTCTGAGTCTGGGGACACAATAGTTTCGCAACGATTTGCATTAAGAATATTTGCTTGTGAAAGAACCTGCTTGCATGATATATCATGATATTCATTTGAGATCTTTCTGCCTGAGACCATATATCTATTGAGACAACCTGCGCACAAGCACATGTACTTGTGACACTTATTCACTTTTCTAAAGTATTGCATGTGGTTTCTTAATAACTTGAGAATACTGGACTGAAATCAAATAAAAATGTATACGATATGTAACTATTTACGACTTATTTGCATGTATTTAGTTGGCACATTCATGCAGTGTAGTTTCAATAACCTTTAAAAATCCCCGATGGTATTTCCACTACAAAAAGGAGAACACGTGTACGGTATAAAATGGTCTGGGGAGGGTTTTTTGTAGCTGAAATTGGTCTTGGGCCCCCCTTTTTGTAATAAAGTTACCCTAAGCATTTTGTAGGCCACCTGTTTGCCAATACAACAAGCTTTTTGTAGGCCCCCAAAACGTCGAATCAAAAATGGAAGATGATGTGATATTACATCAGGTCATAAATTGCTGACTGCATTTTGTAGTCTCATTGTGGCTGAATCATGTAATTTACAAAGCAGCCCAAGAGAATCAGGGAATGCATTTTGTAGACGATGTATATCTATGTACCCTCTGCCGAATTTCCCTTACAAAATGATAGTAGACGGATGAAGACTGTCAGTGTTACCACCTTAGCCCAGACTGTCTTCGCGAAGAAAAGAATGTGAAGACAATGAAGTTTTGTCAGCATTGCTCAAGACAGAAGTCTGCTCCAAAGCATGTAGATTAGGATAGATTAGCGTCCATTAGGCAACTGATGCTTGCCTACAAAATGGCTCTTGGGGAACAAAAAGTTCAGCACAGTGATTGAGCAGAGATGATCAGAAACCAAACTGGTTGGGCTTATCTTAATCGTACATGCATCTTTAAGATAGTTAGTTGAAAGTTAGTTCGTGGGACTGTTGGTGTCAAAAGCGAGGTGGGGAAATACGATGGTCGGACATGCTTGGCCATCGTATTTTTCCGCGTCGTTAATGCCCATTTTTTATGCAAGTGACTGTGAAAGTGAAAGTGACACCTGAAGGTTACTTTTTGCTTCTTTATATATATATATAATATGAGTAGTGAGTTGAATTTGCTTGAGTTGTATTTGAATTTACTTGAACATAGGAACCCAAGGTTTTCAGATGTTTTTGCACCCTATCGGGGTTTTGGTGAATTTTCAGAGCATATGATAATTCTGGAAATTGGACAGATTTATGCAGGTGGACTGAAAACCGTGCTCGTAAAACTAACGTCTTTGAGAACATGCAAGTTCTTATTTTTCATGAACCACTTCCAATTAAGTTACTAACTTCTCTAACCACTTGCATGGGGTGGGGTGGGGTGGGCTGGGCCATAAACATCCTTTCTACTAACAGCTAGAGATCCAAAACCGATTCAGAAACTAACGGCGATTCAGAAACTAAGATTCAGAAACTACGGTTCAGAAACTATTTCCACCGATTCAGAAACTATCGCGATTCAGAAACTGTCACGATTCAGAAACTAGGGCGATTCAGAAACTATCGGGATTCAGCAACTATTGCTATTCAGAAACTATCACGTTTCAGAAACTAAGATTCAGAAACTATATCACGATTAAGAAACTACCACGATTCAGAAACCACGATTCAGAAACTGTCACGATTCAGAAACTAGCGCGATTCAAAAAACCACTATTCAGAAACTATCACGATTCAGAAAGTAGCGCGAATCAGAAACTATCACGATTCAGAAACTACGAATCAGAAACTCCGGTTCAGAAACTACGATTCAGAAACTACCGGGATTCGGAAACTATCGCGATTCAGAAACTATTGCGATTCAGAAACTATCACGATTCAGAAACTATCCAGCTTCAGAAACTGAGGATAAGATGGTATCAAAATTTCCAACCTCATGGAACTTCAAACTGTCCACAAGGATAAGATGATATCAAAATTCCCACCCCCATGGAACTTCAAATTGACTTGGACTGCCCGCAAGGATGAGGTGATATCAACGTTCCCACCCCCATGGGAACTTCAAACTGTCCACAAGGATAAGATATATAAAAATCCCAATCCCATGGAACTTCAAATTGACTTGGACTGTCCGCGAGGATAAGATGATATCAAAATTCCCACCCCTATGGAACTTCAAATGAACTTGGACTGTTCACAAGGATAAATGATATCAAAATTCCCACCCCCATGGAACTTAAAATGGACTTGGACTTTCCACAAGGATAAGATGATACCAAAAATCCCACTCCATGGAACTTCAAAATACCCACCCCCATGGAACTTCAAATTGACTTGGACTGCCCGCATGGATAAGATGATATCAAAATTCTCACCTCTATGGCACTCTATGGAACTTCAAATTGACTTGGACCGTCCACAAGGATAAGATGATACCAAAATTCCCAGCCCATGGAACTTCAAAATACCCACCCCTATGGAACTTCGATTTGAATTGGACTGCCCGCATGGATAAGACGATATCAAGTTTCCCACCCCTATGGAACTTCAAATTGACTTGGACCGTCCACAAAGATAAGATGATACCAAAATTCCCACCCCATGGAACTTCAAAATACCCACCCCCATGGAATTTCATGGAACTTCAAAATACCCGCCCCCATGGAATTTCAAATTGACTTCGACTGCCCGCATGGATAAGATGATATCAAATTTCCCACCCCTATGGAACTTGAAATTTGACCTACACTTTCCACAAGGATCAGGTGATATCAAAATTCCCACCCCCATGGAACTTCAAATTGGCTTGGACTGTCCACAAGGATAATATGAAATGATATCAACATTCCCACACCCATGGAACTTCAATTTGACTTGGACTGTGCATGAGGATAAGATGATATCAAATTTCCCACCCCCATGGAACTTCAAATGGACTTGGACTTTCCACAAGATGATACCAAAATTCCCACCCCCATGGAACTTCAAATTGTCTTGGACTGTCCACAGAGATAAAGTGATATCAAATTTCCCACCGCATGGAACTTCAATTTGACTTGGACTTTCCACACGGAGAAGATGATATCAAAATTGCCACCCCTATGGAACTTCAATTTGACTTGGAGTGTCCACACGGATAAGATGATATCAAAGGCCACCCCTATGGAACTTCAATTTGACTTGGAGTGTCCACGAGGATAAGATGATATCAACATGGCCAGCCCCCTTGCAACTTCAAAGTGACTTGGACTGTCCACAAGGATGATGATATCAAAATTGCCACCCCATGGAACTTCAAATTGACCTGGACTGTCCAACGCCACTTGAGGGAAGTGAACATGAGTTTCTTGGTAAAAAGGATGCAAATCTGATGAGTTTCTTACGTATCTGGTACTGAACCCTGCAGTCATTTTGCTGGTGCTGGCTTGGAAGTTGCAACCATATCACATAGGGGAAGTGACTGCAAATGAATATTCAGATTCAAAAGCAGCATGTTGAACAATTGTAATCCAATCCCCTTTCATCACGAGTTTCGCATTTCCAACTCCCTGTTCCTGTGTTTCCCCGGGTTTTAGTATCCGACTCCCGGTTTCCAACTCCCTATGGATAG